TCATTACCATGATGTGCTATTTACATGATAGGACATACACTAAACAAGAGGAGAGTTTCTTTCAATGATAAATACTTTTATATAGATTGAGAAATATGGAAACTTTGAGGATATGTGCTGTGTGGCTTAAGGAATCACAATAGCCAGTGTGCTCTGTCTTACTTGGGCAGAGCCACAGGAACCTTCCCCATGGACAGCATATTCCTGAGCAGGAACCACTAAAAATAATCCCAATACAGATAATATTTGCTGCTCCATTTGGCAGTTCAGGGTTAAGAATGAAGAAAAATACTTCTTAATGCAAAAAGAACAGAAAAGAGAAATTATCCATGCTGTCCTGCTGTCCACTCAAGATAAGTCACAGATCAGAATAAATCGTGTTTTAATTTTCTATATATGTATGTAATAATGACAATACTTAATTTTTGTATACGACATCTGTGTGCCAGGTATTGTCCTACGTACTCTATATTCATGAGCTCATTCAATCTTCCAACTTGGCAAAACAGGTTCATCATCATTGTACAGATGAGAAATGGGAGTCATATAAATTCCCTGAAGTAGTCCGTTGACAGTGCCAGGAGAGCACCAATCTGACTTCACCAGTCTCAAGTGCTGCACCAGACTGCCCTCCACATGTCAGTACCCACAGAGCTTTCCCAGTCCTCAAGAACATCTCCACAATGGTGAAAAACATTGAGCTGAGATTCCCATTCCGTGCTAAGGTCACAGAAGGCCGAGTTCTGTCTTCACGTTGCTGCTTTCAAGCTGGTAACAAGTGTCCGTTTCATGATTTAGTTAGGGCTATGTGTTTGAATAGTTGTGCTTTTTGGGAGAGTGATTTTAATGCTTAAAAGGCTTTCAGGCACAGCACTGAAGTGCTGTCCTGGGTTCCCAAGTCTTAAGTGCTAAAAAAGCAGTGATGTGCCTTGTGGAGAAATACACGTGTCTGATAATCTATGTTCAGGGAAGAGTTACGGTGCTTCTGGCCATGAGCTCAAGGTTAATGAATCAATACAATATTAAATCAGATCAATTTAAAGAGAAACACAAACAAAACAAGGTTATACACTGATGAGGTGATGAAAACACTGTGACCAAAGGCAGGAACCTAAACTTGTATTTTCCTGAGGAATGATGATGCAGTGTTCATTAATTCAGTGTACAGGGTCACCTTACTGAACATAGCAACCATGTAAAATAAGAGCCATCTATATCCTGGGGTTTTCTCGTTGAAGACCACAAAACAGGGCATCTATGCAGATGGGTAAATTATATGCAGCATTTCTTGCTCTATGTTACATATGAAGAACATGACTTGGCCACTGTGGGGCCCTTTCTCATTCCAGGAGCTATTCCTCTCCAAGCACCAGGACTCAGTGGAATGCATAAAGACAGGCTCATGAGCCATGGGGTCAACTTTGTGGCAGAGTTTAGGCCCCGAGTGGTTATTTGGATGTTAATAAGTTAATGAGAGAAAGTGAAGAAAATATTAATAATATGAAAATATTCATATCATCTTAATTTTATATTTCTCAAGGACAGTGTTCAAATATCAAAGTGAATTTTAATAAAATATTTTAAAGGAAAATGTCTATGATCTATTTCTTTTACAAACTCTGAAAAGTATTCAGAGATCTTTTAGTCAATGAAAAATATTAATAACATTTAAAATATGTGGATAAGCAAATACGTGATTTCTTAAAGGTTGCTGCTAAACATTAAGAAAGGGCAGACTAAGAATTAATCTAATTATAGTCAACAAAGATATGATGCATACCTGGCTGACCTCCTACCAGCCAAATGGGCCTCTGTATTGAATACAAGGAGCAGCGGCAAATATTAAACATGAAAACACATGCATCCTCTGTAATTAACTCCCATGATATCATCTATATTGGGTAACATCAACTCTCTAGGAAACAGTCCCTAAATGTGTCAGGATCTCCTGCACCATAGATAAAAATATATGAGTATAAGTGTATATTATACTTATACTGTCTATAGCTCTTGCCCAATCTACTGTTAATCTTGCATAAAGAAAGCATGAGATGCCCACAAAATCTAGACCGTGTTCAAAGAATAACAGGTAGAATCCAGAGAAAATACCCAGACTGACTGGCATGAGAGCCATGTGCCTTTGGCAAGTATATCACACAGGTGCGGTCATGACCCACCAATATCCCTTCTTTCTTGCCTTCTTGGTGACTTCCACCTGGTGCCACCTGTGTTTTTCTTCCTGAAGGCTTTCTGCAGCCACAGGAGCCGGCTATGATCACACACCTGTGGAGGGTGCTGATGTGGTAGAAGGAGAAACATCTCCTGGAAGCAGCCCTTCATGAACAGCTGGAGGATGTGCAAAAACAGAATGCTTTACATGGGGTCTCTCTACTGGAGCTCAACCCAGTAGAGGGCATTGGGTCAATCTAGGGGCCCTTGGTAGTGACTAGACTGATCACACAATTTTTTTTTTTTTTTGCTGCCTTTCTGTTCCTATCACCTTTGCAGCTCTTCTGACACCACTTCCTTCACTTTTTAAATAATTTACTAGTAATCAAATTCTTGTCTCAGATTTTCTATAAAGTTTCCTTATATAAACTTCTGATCTCTGCACGAATTGTATTTCTCATTGTTAACCAAATAGTTGGTATTAAGGCTTGTATTTTAGTCTTTTACTAGTCTGGCTCATGGAAGTCCATTCTCGGCCGGTGCCGCGGCTCAATAGGCTAATCCTCCACCTAGTGGCGCCGGCACACCAGGTTCTAGTCCCAGTCGGGGCGCTGGATTCTGTCCCGGTTGCCCCTCTTCCAGGACAGCTCTCTGCTATGGCCCAGGAGTGCAGTGGAGGATGGTCCAAGTGCTTGGGCCCTGCACCCCGTGGGAGACCAGGATAAGCACCTGGCTCCTGGCTTCAGATCAGTGCGGTGCGCCGGCTGCAGTGCGCTGGCTGAGGCGGCCATTGGAGGGTGAACCAACGGCAAAAGGAAGATCTTTCTCTCTGTCTCTCTCTCTCTCACTATCCACTCTGCCTGTCAAAGAAAGAAAAAAGAGAGTCCATTCTCCCATTCTCCTGTGGCTAGCGCCGTGGCTCACTAGGCTAATCCTCCATCTGTGGCGCTGGCACCCCGGGTTCTAGTCCCAGTCGGGGCCCCAGATTCTGTCCCGGTTGCTCCTCTTCCAGTCCAGCTCTCTGCAGTGGCCAGGAAGGCAGTGGAGGATGGCCCAAGTGCTTGGGCCCCGCACCTGCATGGGAGACCAGGAGGAAACACCTGGCTCCTGGCTTCGGATTAGCACAGCACACCAGCCATAGCAGCCATTTAGGGGGTGAATCAATGGAAGGAAGACCTTTCTCTCTGTCTCTAACTCTACCTCTCAAAAAAAAAAATTTAAAAAAGAAAGAAGTCCATTCTCTGTAGAACACAGGCAGCTCTTTTTAGATAGAGACTGTGGACATGGAGAGCTAAGAATTATCCAAACAGCACTACATTGAGAGATGTCTCATCCTGTTAACATTTCGTTTGAGCTCATCCACCAGGAAGATAAACAGATTTATTTTACATCCTTGATTGCCCCCCCCCCAAATTGGAGATAAAGAGAGATCCATGGAGGGAAAAAAATCATAAATGAGTGGGTACCAATGTATAACAGGTTTCTAAATATTAACTGTTTTAACCAAGTCAGCAAAGCAGCTGGGCCAGAAAGTCCATTTGCAGTAAACACTGCATGTTAGAGAGACAGTGATAATAAGAGATGAATCATGTGGGTGCGTCTCAGTAGGTGTCAGGAAGATTTTACTATAGTGTCGTGAGAATTAGTGAGTTAATACACAGCGTGTCCTTAGCAGCCACAGAACAGGCTTGAATGTCCATAGATGCTTCTGAGAGCCAGTGAATGGAAGCGCTAACCTGAAGATCACATTGCTATCACACTGATATCACTCTGGTGAAAGATGCGGCATAGGAAATGATCTAGGGACTAAATATCAGAGCTCAACTCTTGGCTTTTCCACACTTTACTATGGGTTGTTAAGTCTTCCAACTTCACTCAATTTTCCACTTGTTAAATGAAGAAAGCAAAAACAGTCTCTGAGGGTGGCTGCCATGAGGATGGCACAAGACAATCACCTGGTACAAGAGTTATTTTACAGGGCTTTTTTTGTCTTGGCTCTCAGCAAGGAAAGAAGAAAATGTTTACAGTCACACTGCAAAGACTTTATAGTTAGAGGATAGATAGGCAGACAGAGATGGAGAGATAGACAGACAGAGACACATCAGATAGAAGGTAGCCATAGATGGTGCGCCTTCCAAAAGCAGTACACGTATCTTGGTTTTCAACCACAATGTAATTCCCCTGCACTATAGGGGTTACCTGGGAAATATATAATTATAACCTTTAAAGTAGTTCCATGTCCATCTCACGTTGCTTGTACTAGAAACCTGGAAGGAGCAGTAATCCACATGCTGCTAACTCTACAGAACGAAGTTTCCTGAGACTGAAATAAGAGTTGCATTGAACCACGTCTCCGCCATTGATGAGGTACGCATTTTGCTGCTCTCTCCACCTCACTTTTTCCCCTGGAAAGCTTTATTACACTCAGTCTGCCCTTGATCGAGTCTGAGAGCCATCATGGAAACTCGGAGGAACATCTCTAGTGATTTTGTACTTAAATGTAGACTGCGATCTGACTGCTTTTTTAAAGTTTGTGGGTGATACTTGCTCCTCTTCATGTTTATGAATAAAATACTAAACTTATATTAAAGTGTGGACTTACAACGAAGTCTTTACTACCTTAGAGTATCATAGTACCTACTACTTAGACTTGACAATCATTTATTACAATTATATGAGGCACTTTCATGTAGTTTCTAAATCAAGAGTTCAAGGAAATAAAGGTCATTACAAACCTAATTTTGTACTGCTTTTAGGTCTAATTGTATACTTTATCTTGTCAGTAGGAAAATAAAAGTGGGTGAAGCAAAGATCATGCGAAGTGGTCCTACCTCCACAGACGACACCGTCGAGGTCCTCACAGTGGCGGTTGTCACACTCACACGTCTTCCCATACACCCTCTGATCTCCTGGAGGGTAGCAGGTGCATTTACCACATTCACATTTACCTGGAAAGTGTAAGAGAACACACTCTTTAGGAGTCACAGCATCAGTATGGCTTTTGAAGAAACAAAGGCAGTATTAAACTCACATCTTCTGTGCCTCGTAATAGCTCAACAAATAACTTTTTTGACCTTCTAGGGTAGACTGAAGGTCAAGAACAGATGCCAACAAGGAAGTTCCAAACTTATTCACACTTACTGCTATTTTTTGCTTTATTCATCATGGAAAAATAGTTCCACAATGAAACTCTCAGGTTTTTATTTCCTATTCAATTTAGTTTGATGTTTTCATTTAAAATAAATTAAGGTAAGTGTTTAACAATTGAGACATCAGCTGAGATGCCTGCATCCCACATGGGAGTGCCTGGCTTTGATGCCTATCATCATCTCCTGACTTTGGCTTCCTGCTAACACAGACCCTGGGGGGAGACAGTGGTGATGACCAAAGTAACTGGGTCCTTGCAGTTGATGCTGTGGTGTAGCAGGTAAAGCTGCTGCCTGCAGTATCAGCATCCCATTTGGGTGCCGGTTCTAGTCCCGGCTGCTCCACTTCCCATCCAGCTCTCTGCTATGGCCTGGGAAAGCAGTAGAAGATGACCCAAGTCCTTGGGCCCCTGCACCTATGTGGGAGACCAGGAAGAAGCTCCTGGCTCCTAGCTTCGGATCAGCGCAGCTCAGGCCATTGCAACCATTTGGGGAGTGAATCCATCGGATGGAAGACCTCTCTCTCGCTGCTTCTCCTCTCTCTGTGTAACTCTGACTTTCAAATAAATTAATAAATATTAAAAAAAAATGGCCCAAGTCCTTGGGCCCCTGCACCTATGTGGGAGACCTGGAAGAAGCCCCTGGCTCGTGGCTTCAGATCAGCTCAGCTCCGGCTGTTGCCACCAATCAGGGAGTGAACCAGCAGATGAAGACACTTTCTCTCTCTCTCTCTCTCTCTCTCTGTGTGTGTGTGTGTGTATGTGTGTGTGTGCGTAACTCTGACTTTCAAATAAATAAATAAATCTTCAAAAAAAAAAAAAAAAAGTAACTGGGTCCTTGCCATCCATGCAGCAGGCCTGAATTGAGTTTCTGACTCCTGCCTTAGGCCCTAGTTTGTGGGCATTTAGGGAGTAATCCAAAGGATGGGAGATTTCCTCCCACTATTTCCACTTTTCAAATAGATAAAAAATTCAAATAAATGAAACAGCTATACATTTTTGGTAAAATTTAGCATACTATGGTCCTTTTTAAAATTAATTGTGGACTGATTGGTCACATGAGAAAAAATGTTCATACGTACATTTCAGTGTGACGGTTGTGTGATTATTTGCAGTTAATTTCACAGTTTATAAAACATTCTTTACCATGAAATATATGTCAAAGCACACAAACTAAATACCTTGATTATTCTCAGCTTCAAATTTAAAGGAGCAAACACCTTTTTTGGAATGAGTTTGGTTCATGCTTTAGGAACTCCTTAACTAGTAACATTGTGATGACTTTCAGCATTATTTCTTGGGCTGTGACTGTGTGTAAAACATCATAATACCTCTACACTACATCAGTTTCTTTTTGTAATAGCATACACATACTAGCATTATTATTTTCTCTACAGGAAACTAGGACACAAGTAACTTCCCATAGTGAACCAGATAGGAAGGGATAGCTTCAAAATTTGTATTCATTCTCCTTCACCTTGGAGCTTGGGTAACCAACCACTGAGCCATACTGATTGTTTACACACTCAGGAAGCACCATTAGGAGGCTACATGAGAACGTCACTTCCTTTTGTCTAGGGCATCAGCACTGGCTTGCCAGACACTCAGCTAGGTGGCAGTGCACCCAGACATCTGTTACTCTCAATCATTAGCCCAATCATCATCATTACGCACCCACGGAAATGATCCTAGGATACTTTAGGGCTGACCCTGCAATATGGCGAGTCATTCTGCTGCTGCACTTGTATCTTGTTAAAGAAATTTTGAGTCGGTAGATGATGGAGGAAATAAAAATTGGGATTTAGAATCATATAATTTCAGAGGTGTAATTAAAGATAATCTAATGCAATGATTCATAATCTTTTCTGGCAGAAGCAATGGAGTCCCAGTCCCTTTGAGAATCTGTCAAAAGATATGGCACTCGATACTGTTGTTCTGGCTGACCTTCAACAAATCTCTCTTTCTGCTTGGAGGTAGCAAGTATTCCCACATTCAGGAAGAGCTAGGGCTCGCTCCTCCACTAACACCGCCTGTTCGTACGCCTGGGACCACAGCAGACCAAAGCTTTGATCCTGAGATTAGAAACCAAGGTGTTGGTGCTATGGCACAGGGTCATGTTTCACAGCAGAGCAATGAGTGTCCAGAGAGGGAAGCTTAGCCTGCAGTGCTAGCATTCAAAAGTGACAGCAGCAGGGACTGGTACTTGGCTGCCTTGCTTTGCTGTATCATCGGAGCCAATTGTCCAAACATGGATTCTGCAGCTAAGCCCTTTTAATATAATCTTTTTTGATTCCTGTTGGTAAAATTGGTTTCTGTTGCTTATAACCAAAAACTTTTTTTTTTTTTTTTTGGACAGGCAGAGTGGACAGTGAGAGAGAGAGACAGAGAGAAAGGTCTTCCTTTTGCCATTGGTTCACCCTCCAATGGCCGCCGCGGCCAGCGCGCTGCGGCCGGCGCACCGCGCTGATCCGATGGCAGGAGCCAGGAGCCAGGTGCTTTTCCTGGTCTCCCATGGGGTGCAGGGCCCAAGCACCTGGGCCATCCTCCACTGCACTCCCTGGCCACAGCAGAGAGCTGGCCTGGAAGAGGGGCAACCGGGACAGAATCCGGCGCCCCAACCAGGACTAGAACCTGGTGTGCCAGCGCCGCTAGGCGGAGGATTAGCCTAGTGAGCTGCGGCGCCGGCCTATAACCAAAAACTTCTACTGGTGATGGGGATGGACAATGAGGGTTAGGGATCTGTGGAGAGGTTGGGTGAAAAATATGAAGTTTCAGTTAAATATGAGGAATAATCTTAAACATATGTTGAACAACATGACTACTGTGGTCCATAACAATATATTGTACCTTGTAAATCTCTAAGGAGTAGAATGATAAGTATGCTGGATATTGTCGCTCCCCGTCTTCGTGGAGGAATGACACAGGACCCTGCGCTGTTCTTTTGTCTGCTCGGCCCTCCCCGGGTTTGCTGCTGGTTCTTCCCGGGTTGGCTGCCGTCCCTTCCACCTCCGTGGAAAGGGCGGTTCCCCCTGGCCACTTTCCCCACTTCCGCAGGGGAGCGGCACACCGCCGGCCGGCTCTCTCGGGGGCTGCACAGATGTTCCCTCAGATGTTCCCCTTAGATGTTCCTGGTGCATGTTGTCTCTCTCCTCCTTTATAGTCCTCTTCCACCAATCCCAACTCGGCTGCCCACACGCCGAGTACGCTGCTCTCCTCCAATCAGGAGCAGGTCCTACAGTTTATTGGCTGAACTGGAGGCAGCTGTGTAGAAGCTGTTTCTCCCTTCTCAGCGCCATATTGTGGGAGAGCAGGTGCATAGAATAAGTCTTAATTCCAGTAACTTAGTCTAGTCCGAGTTGCTCCCAGTTGCTCCCCACAGATATTACATATGTTAAATAGCACAATTTAGCCATTCTACAATGTACACATATTTTAAAACATCATGCTGCATATGATTAATATGTATACTTTTGTCACTTAAAAAAATAAACTCCAATCTGTCCATGGAAAAGCTTATCAATGTACTTTTTTTTTGGTAAAATGTCAGGACTCATTTCACTCTATTTGTTGACTAGATAAAGAAACACAAGCCTGTTTAAATGACTTACCTAAAGCCAGCTAGCTGCGTTCTGGGCATGCTAATATTGAAACCTAGAATTTCTGAGCTGTCAACTCCCGATGTTCATAAACACTGTACATCTCCTCATGGAGAGAAGTGTGTGCAATCCAGTAATGCAGAATGTGAACAGAAAGACACAAACTATAGGACCAATCACAGTGTCTCTGTGTTAACCACTCCATGGACAGATCTGGAAACCGCTCTCCTCAGTTCCTTTATTCATTACTTATCACAGAAACAGAACTATTTTTTTTTTTAGTTTCATGTCATAAGTATTTATGGCAACCAATGAATTTATGTTATAAGGCATTTATCAAATTCCTTGAATAAACATTTTTTATAACTGTACTTCTTTGGAAACTAAATGATTGCATATGCTTCCAGATATCAATGTTTAATTGTTTTTTTTTTTTAATTTATTTGACAGAGTTAGACAGTGTGAGTGAAAGAGAGACAGAGAGAAAGGTCTTCCTTCCGTTGGTTCACCCCCTAAATGGCCACTACGGCTAACGCTGCACTGATCCGAAGCCAGGAGACAGGTGCTTCCTCCTGGTCTCCCATGTGGGTGCAGGCTCCCAAGCACTTGGGCCATCCTCCACTGCTTTCCTGGGCCACAGCAGAGAGCTGGACTGGAAGAGGAGCAGCCAGGAGTAGAATCCAGTGCCCATATGGGATTCCGGCACCGCAGGCGGAGGATTAGCCAAGTGAGCCACGGTGCCGGCCCCATTGTTTAATTGTTTTCATGATGAATAGTTTGTCTTATTTCTTACATAAGCTTGATAATAAAATATTAATATTCTGTCTTTAGAACATTTTCTGTCCTTATAGATTTTGATTCATGTATCTTTTCAAGTCTCAGACAATAATTAACTAGTTTTCAGTGTTCATTTTTCTATGTATCTACTGAAGTTTTTAAAATGACATGTTAAGGCAAGTATGTATGCATGCAATCTTAGTAGAGTTTATAAGATATAGTGGTGTCTGATGAACAGGTTAAAAAATCGCAGAAAAGGCTAACCTATTTCAAATAGAGAAGCAAATAGAACTGAATTCCTCCTCAAGTCCTTATCTTACAGAGTGTTGCTTTATTGTCTCAGTTAACAACTTCTGTTCAGTCACCACCATCTGCAGTTCAGACACCATCCTGTACCCACCAGGGAACTTGCCCATCAGGCTTCCAGGTA